AAATAAAATCTTCTACTCAAGTTATTTTATATTTGTTTTACCTCATACTCTTCCTTAACAATTGCTGCATCAAAATGTCAAAGTCTTAAAAGAACACATAATTTTGGGAAATGGAAAATAAGAAATTGCTTTGTTTACGGAACAAAATAAAAATAAATGTGCAAGCCGGGCTTGGTAACTCAGCCTGTAATCCCGCGCCTTGGGAGGCTGAGGTGAGCGGATTGCCTGAGCCTGCGGGTTCAAGACCCATCTGGGCAACTTGGTGAGACCTCATCTGTACAATAAATAAAAAAAAAAAAATTAGCCGGGTGTGGTGGCGCACACCTGTAGTTCCAGCTACTTGGAAGGCTGAGGCGGAAGGATCGCTGGAGCCCCAGCAGGTGGAGGCTGCGGTGGCTGGGAGTAGCCACTGCACTCCAGTCTGGGCGACAGAGTGAGACTTCAACTCAAAAAATAAATAAATAAATAAATAAATAAATAAATAAATGTGCAGGCTTTGTAAAATTTTTTTAAAGGAGAAAGGTTTCAGATTATATTAGTTCAGACAAAAAATTAATATTTATAAACAACAAATACCTAGACATTGACTTGTAATGAGTTTGTAAAATAGTATAGTAAAATAAAACTGATGGCCATGACAGTTTTTAGCCATTATTGCTTATATATCAAAGAATTCCATGCATTAGCATGAGATGAACAGATTTAACATTTTCTCTTTAAAGGCCTACCTTCAACAACTATTTTTTATAGAAGGATAATTTTTCAGAAGACAAAACTGATCTTAGTTCAGCTAATAACTGACAACATCTCCCAATAAAATGTCAAGCAATTATCAGTGTTTGAATTGGCTGTCTTCCTCCTCCCGGGCTTGCAGGCCGAGCTGGCCTCGCATGCCAACAAGCACAGACGATAACTGCTGGCCCATCTCCACAGGGCAGACTTCCAATCGTATTTCTAGAAATATTGATGAATTTGTTTCACCCACACTTTCCCTTGGGCCCAGCCTGTCTTTACGACCAGTAGCATATATTTGAGTTGGCGAACTCAGAATGCTGTGGGTGGAGAAACCATAGGCTAACTGGCCCACACAAGAATGAGCTCAAAGTTTGAGAGTATGTGGTTCTAACTGCAAAAATTACTAACAATATATTGAAGTCCACACCTGAGGCAGTTCTTCTCCTTCCCTTGCTCTCATTCCATTTTTCCATTTCCTCATTGCTTCCCTTTTAATTGAGGGCCTCCTGTGTGAAGCTGGAATACATATGGCTGAAAGATAAATGACTCACCAACCATCACCTCTGGGCTTGAACTGAACAAGGAGCACCTGGGGATGAACTACTGGGGAAGTTTAAATAGTGAAATACGGCAATAAGCCACCCACTGTACTTCTGGAATAGCAAGTGCAGAGTAGTCACCATAGGCTGCTACCTATGAGGAAAGGAAACCTATATTTTAGAATTGGGAGGGGCTTGTGAGTTCCCCTAGCTCAATTCTCCCAACTCACAAATGAGAAAATTAAGGCCCAGACAAGTTCGAAATCACAAAGTCAGTTAAAATCCAGATTGTGAATTCCAAATCTCAATTCAGTGTTCTAATCAAACAATGTGGGTTGTTACTTATCAATGATGGTCTAGCATCTTATTTATGATGTTTCATTTTTTCTGTTTAAAAATACTACTTGAAAAATTTAGACTGGATATTTGGTGGAAAACCCTAGACAATTTGAAGTTTTAAGAGTTTCTATGAAATGTGACAGTTTGTACCGCATGTGTGTTCAGATCTAAATTTGACAAGCTTTGTATTTATTGGCTAATTTGCTTGACAGAGAACATATTCTATTTTTCAGAAAAAGCAAATATAAAAGTGACACATGCTGTGAAAACCACCCTTTTAACATTATTATCTAGCAAATAATCACATAAATCTGACGTGACTTATTGGTATTTAGTCTAAAGTTGTGTCAAGGCCATATGTTACCGTAGGCAATCTCAATGCATAATTTATAAGATAACCTCAGTGACTACCTGAGAGTCCTGGGTAGAATAATGAATTAATCCCGCAGAAATAGACCACTGGAGGATTAGCTGACATTCATCGAGGTTCACAAGGGCAAGTGGATTAGTAGTCTCAGGCTATTCCTCACAGCTTGTCAGATGACACGAAAATCCAACATATTCCCAGAATTTAAAATAAACCCCTCCAAAAGATTGAGTTTGAATATCCAGGCCCACAGGGCTTATTTACTGCGTAGGATTTATATTGAATCATATATTTTTTAAAAACACTGTCCCAAAAATAAACTATCTACATGAACGTCGGGGTGGGGAACAGATGAAGAACATCTAGGAAAAAAAACTATGGGAGGTGAGGGATAAGAAAAAGAAAAAGGGAACAAAGCAAGAGAAATATGAGAAAAATAAGGAAAGAGATACACCTATAAAAGAGAGCTACAGAGAAATGGCATGGAAAAGAAATAAATAAGTAAAGATGAAGAGAGAAATCAAAGGAAGGGTGAAAAAAAGAGAAAAAGGAACGAAGGGCATATGACAAGTGAGGAGAAAGAGTTGAAAGGATGAGGCCCAAAGACCAGCGATATCTGTGGATCTGTAGCTGCAACACAGCTGGGCCTGACTGGAACAAAAGCAAAAATGGAGGAAGACATGGAAAATGAGCATATGTGTGTATGTGTATTTGGATATTAACTCACCCCTTAAATATTGCTTAAATGAAGTTTTTATCTTCATCCTTGAAATTCTTTCTTCTCACTCTATAATAACCCATGACTTCAGCTCCAGAAATGTTGACGGCTTTCAGACTATGGAAGCTATTATTTCTAGTCTACAACAGCATATCCAACTTCCCACTTATTTACTTATTTTAGGAACACTGAGTGTAAAATGCTCAAACCTCCTCCCAAATGTCCTAATTCCTAGTAGTCACACTTTGGTAAATGATGATAGCTCCACTAACTTGCCCAAATCAGTAATCACTGAAGGTTCTTTCTGTGTTGTCCCTTCTCTCTCCAAATGGCTACCAAAATTCACCTCCGAAATATTTCTAAAGTTGTCTCTTCTCTTCACTCAACTGGTCTTCCTGACTCAATTTCTTTCCTCTCCTCACTGTGCCCCATCAGAGAGGTCATCAGAGTGCTCTTCCTAAGATCAGAGTGCTCTTCCTAAGATAAAAATTAGACCATGCTACTACTTGCTCAAAGGCCACTGGTGATTTCAGGACCAAGTCCAATCCCCTTCCATGACCAGATAAGAGTTTCAAGTCCTCACTCTGCCAGCCTCTCCACCTCCACCTCCTACCATCCATGACCTCACTTCTACTCCATGACTACCAGTTTTCAAACTACAGAGACAAGATTTATTCCATAACTTTTTACCATCTATAATTTTATGTGGATTTTTTTTTAAAAGTTGAAGTCCCACTCTGTTGACTAGGCTGGAGGGCAGTGGCACACTCACAGCCGCCCCAGGGTAACCTGCTGGGCTCAGGCGATCCTTCTGCCTCAATCTTCCAAGTAGCTGGAACTACAGGCGCATGCTGCCACGTCTGGCTAATTATTTTTATTTTTATTTTATTGTAGAGATGGGGTCTTGTCAAGTTGCCAGGGCTGGTCTTGAACCTGCAGGCTCAGGCAATCCACTTGCCTTGGCCTCCCAAAGTGCTGGGATTATAAGCCGAGCTACCGAGCCTGGTCTTACACAGATTTTTATATAAATTGAATAATGTTTATGAAACAAGTTTTTACTTATTTCCACAAAACAAGACACAGCACGTATTTCAAGAATGGAAGGCGAGGCTTGCTTATTATAGCCATATCTGTTTTTCTTCTTCTCTCTCAGCTAGATAGGGCAATCTTATAACACACAGCTTGCTCTATGATTTGTTGTTGTACATGTTGACCAATGTCCTGCATTTTTCTGTGGGGCTTTTCTTTTAGATTCTCTTTCTTTTGGGTATTGTGCTGACCAACCGTCCTATCATGGTGCCTGCTCATAACACAGGCTCAACCAATTATCATTACCATCGTCATCAGCTTCGTTATAATAAGAAGGAAAAGTCTTCTTTCTCACATCCTTGGGAATGTCAAATATGTGAGTACAAGGGGGAACCTCCCCAAAACCCTGTCAAAGGTGGGCCCCCTGCAGTACAGGTTTCCCCCACTTGGTAAGTGTTCTAGGAAACCAATGGCATCAGTGTACCAGCTAGCATTGTTGCAAAAGGTTGCATTTGGCTTCAGTGAAATTTTTTTGGAGATTCTTTCAATGCATTTGCCCATTTTATGATGGGTGATTTACGAGTGCACCTGCTCACACTGTGCTGAGTGTTCAGCAGTTTTTGACCAAAAAAAGCATACCCTCCATGCTCCACCCTCCCTAATCACCTGATCTCACCCCAAGTGACTTTTTCTTTGTTTTTCAAGAAGAAAAAAGTCCTCAAAGGGAAACATTTTGCCAATGTGGAAGAGATGAAACAAAAATGGCAGAGCACTAAAAGGCATCAACATTGACTACTTCAAAAACTGTCTTGAACAGTGGAAAAGCATCTTGACAGGTGTATTACATCAAACAGAGTACTTTAACAGTGACTGAAGATTAAACATGTAAGAATAAATGCATAATTTTTAATAATTAAAATTCTGGGTTTTTTTGGGTTCCCCCCCATATGATGGTCATAAGTACTAAGCATTTTCTAGTGAATAAATGACTTTTAAGATTCAGCAGAGTTTTGTGTACCACCCTATGGGAAGACACAGGATTCTTCTGTTATTCTGGCATGACACACTTTGTATATTCACACAGAATCACAGTCATTTACTCCAAATTTTTGTCCCAAAACCTTCAATGCCATATGATAAAAAATGTTAACAATCACAGACTCACAGATGTGTCTGGGCATCAAAGCCAGTTTGGTAACTGAGTATATTCACACACACGAAGCACCCTGGCAAACAAAGGGATATAACTGTATCTTTGGCAGCAGCCAGGAGCTCACCTTTTCTTCATAATCAACACAACTCCAAGAAATATAATAACGAACAGCAAGATGCCCGCAATGACTCCAGCAATTTTAACTGTATGGTCTGTCTGTTTCTCGGGTTCTGGGACTGGTTTTGGAGTGGCAGCTCCTGAAGATGAAAGGAAATGAAAAAGGAGAGAGAGAGTGGGTAAGAGAGAATAAAGATGTCACATTAAAAAAAATTTTTTTGCTGCATTTAACAGAGTAATAAGACTTATCAGAGCCAGCAGACAGACAGGCTTTGATTTTTTAAAATAGCTTTCATATGCACTGAAAGGAGCATAATTGTTCATGTTGTTCTTCAATATTTTACTAAACCATAACACAATCTGGATGGCACCCCCATGCCTGACCCTTTTATAAGAGATTCTTCTCAAACACAGTTTTAAAATATTTTTATATCTCTATTGGCTCCTGCTCTTTCTGCTGTCTAAAAACTTACTACAATAGCCATCCCTAAGCCTTTATCCAAATTTGATTTGCTGGAACATTTTCCTCAATTATTTTTCATAAATGAAGCAGTAATTCCATAACATATTAGCCCAAACACCTGGAAAAATGAGATAAGCTCATTTACCATGCATTTTACCAGCAATTGTTTTTTAAACACAATAGAGTTTTTTCCCCCCTGCCTTTGGAAATCTAAATCTAGGTCACATCTGGTAGGCAAAAGACTCCTTCTAAGCAATTTATTCACAAAGTGGGAAGCAGCTGATGATCACACTACTGGTACCCACAATTTAATATCTGTTTAAATGAGATAACCAGGGCCTTGCAGCGGCGATGGCTGCCTTAGCTCCCCTGCTTTCTCCTGTCCAAAACATGAGACGTGTTTGTCCTGTTTACCATATAATGTGATGAATGTCAAGTCAGTGTCTGATAAAATATCTATTTCCTCCGCTAAGTGTATGAAGGATAAAAATATTAGGAATGTACTGTGCAATCCCCTAAACAGAATCATTTTTTTTAAAGGTGTCTACTTTTTAAATTAGGATGTGATGATGTTCTGCCTCTGCTCATCACGCTGCCCTTACTCAAAGGAGGAGTTTTATCTCCAAATTTCTCACCTTAGGATTATATTTTTGTTGGTAAAAATATAATTAAAATGTAATGTCAACCAGCTTTTTCTACCCTTTCATGGGATTTTCCACTCATGTGTCACCTGCTTCTTGAAAAACTTAACTATCATTGTGTCTGTGCCCTTGCACAGGGCAGAATGGGAGAATTCTAAAATGAGTCATCACTGAGAAACAGGAAGTGCCATGCTATAATTTTCCATCTGTTTCTTTGTTTCCTTTGGGAATATATATATAAAATTTCTTTGCAAAGTTATTACTATTAAGATATTATACAAGAAGTCCTAAATCCTGAACATTGCTGGAGCCATTAGACTAAACCAATAACACTAGTCAAAGGCATGGGAGAAACGTGAGGCTGACGATCTGAGGGCTGTGTACATTGGTGTTTCCATGACAAACATATTCTCATCATGAGACAACCACAGTGACCGAAGTTGTAAAGCAAAAAGCACACTCTATTAAATAAAAACCCTCTGGATGAATCTTTACAGGTCAATTTTATTCCTGACAACTTTAAGAGGATGTCCTGCTATTTTGTTTGGATGACTATCCCTCAACCCATTGTCTAGTTAAATCTTGAAAGTATTCATGTTAATTATTTTTGTGATAATTACATCTGAAATATATCACTCTAATATACCACTAGAACATACTACCAGGTGGTCAATTGGGAGAAAATTGTCACATTAAATAAATTGCTAAGAAAAACCTAAAGATAAAATATGTATATAAGAAGAAGATGAACACAAAAGTTTAAAAAGGCAATCCATACAAAAAAGAAATTGCATTTCAAATTCATAAAACCAAGCTGGGCTTGGTGACTCAGGCTGTAATCCCGTGCTTTGGGAAGCTGAGGTGAGTGGATTGCCTGAGCCCGCGGGTTCGAGACCCACCTGGGCAACTTGGAGAGATCTCATCTCTACAATAAATCAAAAAATCAGTCGGGTGTGGTAGCGCGCGCCTATAGTTCCAGCTACTGGGAAGGCTGAGGTGGAAGGATTGTTGGAGCCCAGCAGGTCGAGGTTGTGGTGGCCAGGAGCGGTCACTGCACTCCAGTCTGGGCGAGAGAGTGAGACTCTAACTCAAAAAAAAAAAAAGAAAAAGAAAAAGTCCAATGCTTTTTCCATTTTTATTTTGCATACAATTAAAAAAATTGGTTTTAATCTTCCACATGTTGATATACTACAAGCCATTCCATTTATTTCACTAGTTATATACTGTTAGTTCTCCATTTATTTTCCAAATAATTGATTTAGGGTTTTTTTTTTTTTTGGTAACTAAATGTCAGCAAATGCAACACTTGGGAGAGAAAAGGCTTAGAAAAACTTTATTTAGCTTAAAAATTTAAATACAAGAAAATCATGATGCAACATATACACTTGATAAACCCTTGGTACGAAGAGAGCTTGGCTCAGTGAGCCTAGGCTCTATGGGAGCCGGTTTATGACTGCATTCTGCCTGGAGCCTTGAAGACGGCAGTCACCTGTAGACTTTCGTCCCCTTTAGGAAGCAGGCAAGCCTATCACTATGCAGCCAGTGTAAGTTTGCTATTATCATTCTTTAGCACTTACTTTTAACTCATTTCACATTGTAGGTCAAGAAAATGAAATGTTCTATCTCTGCATGACACATCTGCAATGTGCTTACGGTAGTAATCATGCAAAATGGGACAGTAACTCAGAAAAAAAAGGCAGGAGGGCTGCCTAGGACCGACTTTCTGGTTGATTCAGGATTTTGGGTTTAGGACTACTCTGAAGAAGCATCAACATAAACACAAAGTCAGGATGGAATAAATCACAGCCCTCAGACAATCTGATGAGAGGGTGTCATTGATTCTGGGCCCTCCCTCTGGACACAGACGATTCCTGCCCTCCTCGCCTGTGCTCTGCCCTCTGGCCCTTCCTAAATTGGGCAGCTTCAGGTTCTCCTCAGACAGGATACTCTCTCTCCACATTTACTGCTTTGGAAACATGTTGTTTTGGTTATGAGCTGCTAGTCGGCCTTGTACAGAGGATAATTTGGGACAGAATATGGTTGCAACTGATGATTTTTTTTTTGCTTCACCCAAATCTATGAATTTAACGGTACAATTTACAAACCACTTGGCAAAATAATTGTTTTCATAATATTTTCTCTGTCTTGTTATTTTATTGCCAGATTTCTAATGGCATAAACTTTTATTCTCTTTTTTGGTATCAGGTTTATCTTTCATGGAAAGGCATTTTTTCCTCTCCTGTGTGCATTGTTTAGAGAGTAGTGTGCATTTAGTTCCTTTCAAAGAGAATAAACTTACATGGATGCATTTAACAGTGGGCATCAACTAGGCTTGACTATATTCATTAAAATTATGAATAAGCTAAATATTACAGGGAGACAGAGAGGCTGCTAAATTTATAAGCACAATCCTCACAGATGTGCATTCTACCAACTCCTCGCCACAGCTTTTAATGACCAAGAAAATAAAAAAGGGTGGCATTCTAGTCAAACTGCATTGTTTAATATTTCAGAAACAACATCTAGTGTGAACAAAATCTCAAAAGAAACAGGATGATTATCCACTGCAGTGTTTGGTTGGTTTTCAACTTGGCAGAAAACAGTTCGTTTTGGCCCAGTATTCAATGTTAAATTAAATAACAGCAGCAAGCCAGGCTGAGAACACGATGTACTCAGTCATTGGCTTGAGGTTTAGGCCCAGTTTTGACTACTGAACTGGCTGCACACATTTTCCCAGAAGACTCACTGTTATAAGCCCAGAAGGCCATGAAGGCCGTCACTGATGTCTGGAGTTCCTGACTACGCCGCCTACAGCATTGGGGCTGGTCTCATCTTGGGAGAGCAGGAAGCTTTCCCAAAAGGAAGGGAGTGGCAAGGTTAGGAAGGGCCAAGGGAGGGCCAAGAAAACGGCTTGGCTACCCAGAACCTCTGCACAGCGGTGATAAAGCTAGGCTGACCTTGAAGGTGGAGGGGAAAACCAGCAAATATTGTTCATTTACTCAACAAGTGTTTCTTGAATACCTAATATGGTGTCAAGCTCTATTTTAGGAATACAGCAGTGAACAAATGAACCAAAACAAAAAGCAACAACAAAAAGCCCCTTGTTCTCATGGAACTTAAATCCTTGTGGGAGCCGGGGATGGTAGCTCATACCTATAATCCCAGCAATTTGGGAGGCTGAGGTGAGAGGATTGCCTGAGCCTGTGGGTTTGAGACCAGCCTGGGCAACATGGTGAGACTTTGTCTCTACAATAAATCAAAAAAATTAGCTGGATGTGGTGGCGCATGCAAGTATTTCCAGCTATTTGGAAGGCTGAGGTAGAAGGATCGCTTGAGCCCAGCAGGTCGAGGCTGCGGTGGCTGTGAGCAGCATGCCACTGCACTCCAGCTGGGCAACAGAGTGAGACTCTGACTCAGGAAAAAAAAAAAGGAAAAGAAAAAAGTAAATAAATCCTTGTGGGGAAAGACAGACATCAGCGTAAACCATTAAGCCAATAGTGTAGGCAGCAAGTTAACTGGTGCTCTGTGCAGGGCTGGCTATGGAGAAACAGCAAGGGGTGGGGGCTGGGTAGTGTGAGGGCAGGGCAGCTGCTAAGATGGGAGATCAGAGAAAGAACGACTGAAAGCAACATCTGAGATGGGAAAGAGGAAAGTGATTGAAAGAGGCTGATGGCCAGGGAGAAGAAAAGTGAAAAGGTGCACAGAGACTGAAAGACTGAATGACTGGAGTGTGGTGAACCGGGAAGAGTGCAGGTATGATGCCAAAGTAAGTGGGGGTCTCCTCTGCAGACTGCCAGACCTCTGTGTGAGATGGGACCTATGGGAGGCTTCCAAGCAGAGGAAGAATGAGGTCTGGCTTCTGTTTAACAGGACTGTATGGGCAGCCCATATACAACAGGCTGTAGGGGCCATGATGGAGACAAGAGACATTAGTTAGGAGGCTGTTATGGTGACTCAAGGGAAAGCCTGTGAAGGTCTAGATTGAGATGGCCAATGAACTGGATACAGAGTGCATTAGGAGAACATCTGGGTTTTT